AGCTTGTGCTGCAAGCTGGTTACCATAACATATATGTTTATTTGTTCTTTTTGTATGTGGTACACCATGATAATCAGCCATACTGCATTACGAAAAGACGTTCATAGCTTTAGCATTAGGGAGTTTATAGGTGATTTGCGCTGTTATATTTATATGACATTGAATATATACAACATATATTTTGAAATCATATATATATATATATATATATATATATATATTAATCGCAAAACTAAATTTGGCTTTGAAAATACCCACAAAAGATTATTTAAAGCTAATATTGAAAGAAATATTTGATTCAACATAATTTATTACACATAAACATTTACGCTACAACACCCTAACATAAACTATGGAACATACTGTAAAAGTATTTTACAGTATTTATTGTTCATGCAGTGAAAGTCACTGGTAACCAAATCAGCTTTGTTACCAACAGTCTTCAAAATACCTGCTTTTATGTTCCACAAAAGAAAAGAAGGCATACAGGTTTGAAACGACATGAGGGTGAGTAAATGATGACAGAATTTTAATTTTACGGTGAACTGTCCCTTTAATGTTTTTATTTATTTATTCTTTACTGAAATTATACTCTAAATAAGAAACTAAATCTGCCAGCAGATGGCGGTAAATGTCGTTATGAGCCATTCATTCATTCGATTTATTCAAATGGCTGATTAATTCAGAAATTAAGTAAACGCTTTATGAATGGCCTTTGAATCATTGATTCACACGATTCGTTCAAAACGCGGATTAATTCAGAAACTAAACAACGCTGTGTTGCTCGGAGACATACAGCATTTCTGCTGTGGCTTTAGGTAATATTTGCGTTAGCAAAGTTGAGCAAAAACAGACAATATTGTGTTTAAAATATAACGGTATTAACTTCTTATTTACTGAACTGTGCCTTGTGCACTCCTCATTTGGGAGTCACACTCATGGTCTTCGCGGTCAAAAGTGACCGAACACCTGAAATTTAACTTTTTTTTTCTTCAGTAAAATCAATCTAATATACAGTATTTTTTGTGCAGTGTGTGTGTGTGTGTGTGTGTTTGATATGGCTCTTGTACGGAGGTGTGTGCAGTGTGTGAGTGATACTGCAGTAATGTTTGTTAAAGGGGCATCACATCTGTGAAACATTCAGACTTTCCTCAGCTCTTGAGTGTCTCAGTACGGCTGATAACGCTTTCATTTGCATTATATGCTGCAGTAGTTTGAGTATTGCTTATCGTCAGGAGCTTCAGGCAAATGTTTTCTGCAGAAACTCCTTTGAAAGTGTCGCAGAATGAAGCTGGCGACGGATTCACTGCATTAGAATCCCTTCCACTGCTGGTTTACGGCTCGTTAGCAGGGGAAACGAGCACC